AGGAGCAGGAAGGCTGACGTTTCGGGCCTAGACCCTTCTTCAGAAACATCAGCCCGAAACGTCAGCCTTCCTGCTCCTCTGATGCTGCTTGGCCTGCTGTGTTCATCCAGCTCTACACCTTGTTATCTCAGAACCTGTGACACTCCTGTTTATATCTGTCAGCCAGGGCTGCCTGATTGGTTAATGGCCCTAATCAGGGAACTCGTATTCTATGAGGTCTATCTGGCTGGCCTCATTACAATCACTACCACCTTCTCAAGGGCAATTAGAGATAGGCAATAAATGTTAGCCAAATCAGCAAGCCTTTCTCCCATGAGCAACATTTCTAATTCATTAGCTTTGATTTTTATACATGGTGCATTTGAATAAAGAATGCTTAATTGGATCTCATACCCTTCAATATTCTCCTTTTCTTTGACCACAGATATTAATGTTGACCCTTAGTTGTCTTACATACAAATAGAAATTATACCTCTCTACAACCACTGGCAGTGGGTTCAGGGTTTGTGAGCTGCTGCACCAGGCTGAGCTCTCCCTGTGCTGTTCATATTCTTTGTTTCCTTTTCACAGAGCTTCTTTACAAAGTGAGCTGACTGAAGATGAGAGACCCCATTCTGATCCTGTGCCACATCCTGAGCTCCCCTACCCTTTGTTCAGGTTTGAGATAAACAGCCGGCTATCGAGCGAGGAGAGTGATGGAGAAATGACAGAAGAGTCTGAGAAGCTGGATTGTCACTATTCACGCTTTCATCCAAAGCCTCTGGCAGTATGTACCATTTCAGCTTGGCTGCTCTCTCTGCTGTTCGTTTGTCTTTCTGGGAATGTTCATGTTTTAAATTCACCTCACCAGAGAACAACTGAGATTGGGATCATCTATAGCCAGGTTGCCTTATTCAGTCCTCACCATGAAATGTTTTTAATTACTTAAGTGGAATGATACAGCACAAAAGGAGGCCATTCATGCCATCATACCAATGCTGACTGCTTTTTGAAACAGCTATTCAATTAATCACGTTCTCCTGCTCTTTCTCCGTAGCTCTGCAAATTCTCCTTCAAATTTTTATCTAACTCCTTTTTGAACATTGCTATTTAATCTGTTTCTACCCCCCTTTCAGCTATGCATTCCAGATTGCAGTTTGCTGCATAGAAGATAAATATTCTCTGCATTTTTGTCCTTCCTTTACAGAATCATACAGCACAGAAACAGACCCTTCGGTCCAACCAGCCAAACATAATCCCAAACTAAACTAGTCACACCAGCCTACTCCCGGCCCATATCCCTCCAAAATTTTCCAAATGTCTTTTAAATGTTTTAATCATGCCCGCAACCACCACTTCCCCAGGAAGTTCATTCCATACGTGAACCATTCTCAGTGTAAACAATTTGTCCCTCACTTTTTTTATATCTCTCTCTTCTCACCTTAAAAATATGTCCCCTAGTTTTAAAATCCCCCATCAGAGGGAAATGACACCCATCGTTAATCCTATCTATACCCCTCATGATTTTATAAGTTCACCTCTCAACCTCCTAGGTTCTAGCAAAAAAAATGTCCCAGCCTTTCTTTATAACTCAAACCTTCCATACCTGGCAACATCCTGGTAAATCTATTCTGAACCCCCTCCAGCTTAATAATATCTCTTCCACAACTGGGCGACCAGAACTTTGTGACATTTCTCTAAAAGCTATTACTGCCTGCCCTCCTGCCTGTGGAAACTATATCTGCTCAATTACAATGGAAAGTACTTCCATTTATGTAGCACCTTTTCCACCTAATGGCATCCCAGAGTATGTGGCCAAGGAAAGACATTTGCAGTGTTGACACTGCTGTAATGTTGGAAACAAAGCAGCATTTTTGCAATTTCCCACAACGTCAGTGATTTAATGAGCAGATAATCTGTTTTACTGATGTTTTAGTGATGTTGTCTGAAGGATATTGACCAAGACACCGCAGATAGCTCTGCTGTTCTCTTTGAATATTGTCATGGGATCTTACCATTCACTTGAAAGGGTGGATGGAGTCTCAGCTTAACATCTCATTTGAACATCAGCTCCTCCCATGGTGCAGTGCTTTTCTCTTCTGGTGGCTTTAATACAAATTGCATCTTTCTCCCTCACTCTACACGAGTTTGAATTCCCCTGTGCACAGCCAGGGGAGAGCGACAGACTCCCCTGTCAGTTGTGGCAGACACAAGAGACATCATTACTGTCCTCAGTATTAAGGCATAGGAGAAGATATTCTATTCTGTACCCAGTGGCAATTCCTCCATTCAGTGAGACTATTCTATATTCTATAAAATATTCTATTTTAACTCCATCTACCTGTCTCGCTGCCATAAATTTGCATTGCAAACTCAAGTGAGCCCCTTCAACCACCACAGCTCTTCAGAGGAGAGAGTTCCACATTCCCATATACAAAGAGGTGCTGCCTAACATTGGCAGTGAACTGTCCTATTTTCAATAAATCAGTGTCTTTCATAACTTGTACATAGTTTAACTATGATTTAGGAGCTGGACCTGAATAACTTTAAAATTTAAAAAAAAAAAGGCTGGCAATATTAGGTAAGATGATATCTACGGACTGAGAAAGATGAAAGTTCATTGAGCTTAAACATTAACTCTGCTCCTCTCGCTGACAATGCTGAGTATTTCCAGCAGTTTCTGTTTTTATTTCAGATCTCCAGCTGCTCCGGTAGTTTGCGTTTTCAACGATTAGCCTCCCCCATTCTGTCAATCCCTTCTTTCCTCTTATTCGGCATGAGCAGGGTTGATCCCAGTCTGTATCTGACTGTTTCCTTACTCCTTTCCAGTTCTGCACTTTCGGAAGCCGGATGATCAGTCGGGGTTGTTACGTCTTCAACAGGCGCTTTGATCGTTTCCGTGTGGCCCTGAATTCCATGGTGGAAAAGCACCTCAATTCTCAGATGTGGAGGTCAGAACATTAACCTTTTTCTTGACTGGATATTCTCTTGCATTGAGATACGGGCAGGGGTTTTGTGTGTGTGTGTGTTTCCCACCTGCAGAGGAAGATTTATATTGTGTTTTTTCCAACCATTAGTAATCTTAAACTGCTTTACAGACTATGAAATATTTTTAAATTGTCGCCCCTGTTGCAATGTTGTTCATTGGTTGTCAAATATAGACATTATCCTACAAAAATGATTTGGGTTAACCTGAAAGACTGCACCTTCAATAGTGCAGTGCTCCCCCGGTAAGGGTCCGCTATCAGTCCTTCTCTGCTAAGGTATTGTATTCCCTCTGGTCTACCTGAAAAACAAAGCTACCTCTGTACTGAACCCCCACAGTGCATTGCTCACTCAGTACTTTCCCTTCAACTGGCTGATGTTTCCTCAGTACTTCCTGTGCAACCATGTGGCATTACCTCTGACTGTGAAGGATTCCCTTTGTACTCCCCTCGTATGCTATTCCTTCTCTACTGCCCTTCTGACTGTGTGCGGTTCCCTCTCTATAGCCTCTCTGACTGTGTAGACTTCCCTCTGTCTTGCTCCTCTGACAGTGTACTGAGATGGTCAGTCTGGATACTGCAGTCTGGGTGTGTGAGTGATAGAGACACCTTGATGATATCTTACTCTTTTGTTCTTTTGGTTTCATTGCAGAAAGATTCCTCCAGCCACGGATCCACAGAGAACGCCACTTGCTGCCCCACCTCCGGCCCCCTCGGCATTTTCTCTCCCATCTATTTCATCTGTTTCGGGATCTTTGCCCGCCTCAGCTTCTTCCATGGGCATGGAACTGAAAGCAGCATCCTTGCCTGCCAGCCTCACTGGAGCTCGAGCCCCTCCAGAGCCACCTTCTGCCTGCTGCCGCTCACTCCCTCCACTGACCCTTCCAGCTCGCATCCCCTCTCCCTCTTCCAGTAGAACACCCTGGGCCAAGAGCACCCGGGCACCTGGGTTTCACCTGGAGCCCCGTTCCACTGGCGAGACATCTCCGGGCAAACGCAAGAAATCGGGGGCTGCTACCTGTAACCCGCCCCCTCCCTCGGATAACCCCCTCAAAAGAAACTGCGTGTTGAGTCTGGATAGGATAAGTGCTCCTCCCCCTGGTGGGGCAGCCTCACACCCCCCTCACTCAAATACCTCTTCGCACAGGGTGAGCAACGGACTGAGCGCCAATGGGCCCAAAGCAGGACGCGCAGGATCGACCGCAATTCTGGGCCTTTCAGGGAACTCCCTTAAAGGGAACAGCAGGACAGTGGAACACTTTGATCCCAAAAAGGAGGTCCACCTAAGTGAGGCAAGGCGGCTAGGAGGTCACAACCCAACGTCCCCCCTACCGACCCCCACCTCCCCGGCACAGACCGAGGGCAGGAAACGGAAGAATGCAGCCTCCTGCTCGAAACCCACAAAAATAGCCAAGGCCCCTGATGTCGGCGGTGCTCAGAGGAAGAGAGAGGAGAGCCTGGCAACGACGCAACCTCACAGCAACTCTCACCCACACAAGGTACAGAAAACACGGTGTCCATGCAGGGAACCTGTCAAATAACTTCGAGGTACGCGTGCCCTCTTGCAGCTGGCTGCTCACTGCCTATGGTGCTGCGATACCTGGCTTGAATCTTCTTAGGCTAGGGAAGAGCAATGCTATTTGGGATTCTCACACCTATTTATCGTCCGGGGTTGCTTTTCCCCTCTGCACCCTGTGAGTATGGAGTATGCCAGTGTGTGCACGGGTTGGATGGAGTCGTGTTGAAGTTCAATTGATTATTCTGAAGTTATCTATTTCGCTGCCAGTCTCTGACCAGAGCAAGTCTTTGGCCATCGTCGCATCCATTTTGTGAGAAGGTGGAGAGTTTTTACCTCATTCTGAACTGTCCTCATGACTGGCAAATGTAAATACTGGGCTGATATTAACTGCCTGTTTGCACAGTCAGTTAGACAGTTAGTGGTGTAAAGAGAGGCAGAGTGTGAAAGTCTGAGATCATAGAGTCATAGAGATCTACAGCACAGAAAAAGGCCCTTCAGCCAATTGATTCTGCGCCAGTCAAAGACAACCACCTTAACTATTCCAGTCCCATTTCCCAGCACTTGGCCCATAGCCTCAATTGCCTTGGTATCACAAGTGTACGTCTAAATACTTTTTCAATGTGACAAATGTTTCTGCCTCTTCCACCCTTACAGGCAGTGAGTTCCAGATTCCCCCCACCTCCTGTATGAAAAGACTTTTCCTCACATCCCCTCTAAACCCCCTGTCCCTCACCTTAAATCTATGTCCTTGGTCAGTGATCCCTCCACCAAGGGCAAAAGTTTTTTCCTGTCTACCCTATCTACACATCTCAAAATTTTATACATCTCAATCACGCCTCCCATCAGTCTGCACTGCTCTTAGGAAAACAACCTCAATCTATCTAACTCTTCATAATGGAAACTCTTCAGCCCAGGTAACATTCTGGTAAATCTCCTCTGCATCCTGTCCAGTGTTGTCATATCCCTCCTGTGGTGTGGATTCTAGAACCACGCACACTACTCCAACTGAGGCCTAATCAACATTTTATCAGCATAACCTCCCTACTCTTAAACTCGATTTCTCGGCTAATGAAGGAAATATCCCATGTGCCTTCTTAACCACTTCATCCACCTGTCCCACAACCTTAAGAGACCAGTGGGACATGCGCACCAAGGTCCCTCTGATCCTTGGTGTTTCCCAGTGTCCTATTGTTCCTCATGTATTCCCTTGCCTTGTTGTCCTGTCCAAGTGCAGCACCTCACACTTAACCAGATTGAATTCCATTTGCCACTGATTGGCCCAACTGAGAAGCCCATCTATATCCTCCTCATTATTTACCAACACCAATTTTTGTATCGTCCGCAAACTTGGTGATCAAGCCTCTACGTTTAAGTCTAACACGTTTATATATACTACAACAGCAAGGGACCCAACACTGATACCTATAGAACCCCATTGGACTCAGACTTCCAGTCATAAAAACACATTTCAACCATCATCTTCCACTTCCTACCACTCAGCCAATCCTGGGTCCAGTTGGCCAAATTTCCTTGGATCCCGTAGACTCTTACCTTCACAATCGATCTCCTGTGTGGGACCTTACCAAAAGCCTTGCTGAAGTTCAAATAGACTGCATCAAATGCATTCCCCTCATCTACATATCTGGTCATGTCTTCAAAACAATCAGTCAAGTTGGTCAGACATGATCTCCCCCTAATAAAACCATGCTGATTGTCTTTAATTAATCACTGTTCTTCCAAGTGCATATTATTTCTGCCCCTCAGAATTGATGCCAATAGTTTTCCACCACTAAGGTTAGACTGACACGCCCGTAGTTTCCCGGTTTATCCTTTGCTCTTTGAAGCAGAAAACTGCATCAGTGTTTTCTAAATAGTGAGAACTTCAGAACTGTGAAGGATTGGAGAGATTTAAAGATATTTGCATAGAAGGGACTAATATCTAGAGGACAGATTGGGAAATAATTCCAAAGGCTAATGGAATGTTGGCCTTTCTCTGAAGGGGCTGGAATACAACGGTGTAGAAATTATGCTGCAACTGTACGGAGTGGGAAGGGGTTTCCAAAACCATAACATTCAAGCCAAGTCATTCAGGGATGATGTCAAGAATCACATCTTCACCTAAAAATGAGTAGGATTCTGGAAAGTTCTGTGGATGTCAGGGATCAAGTGATACTTGCAAACTGAGACCACAGAGTTTTTAGGCAAAAGTATTAAGCATATGTGACTGGCAGTAGGAAAACTCAGCCATGATCTAATTGAAAAGAAGGACAGGCTGAGTAACACTTGCAGATCTGATGCCTCACCAAAGCATAGTGAAGGAAACTAAACACAGATTATTTTCCTGTTTGAAAACCTCAATTATCTTGTGCCCATTATGCCTGGAAATGTTTCTAACTCCTGCACAAATATGCCATTGAGATTTACTGTTTAACAGAAGTATTTTGTATTTAATTACAAAGCAGTAGAAATGGATAATGGGAGTGGATTATAGAGATAATGTAATGTGATCCTGCTCACTGTAAGAGAGATTTCCACTGGGCATGGTCCATGTTGACTTGTTTGTTTTTTCCATTGATGGGATGCAGACATCACTAGCTGGGCCAGCAGTTTATTGTCTTAATTGTCTTGGAGAAGGTGCTGGTGAGCTGCCTCCTTTAACTGTTGCAAGTTGTGATGTGCAGGTACACCCACAGGGCTGTTAGGGAGGGAGTTCCAAGATTTTGACCAGGCAACAATGAAGGAAGAGTGATATAATTCCAAGTCAGAATGGTGTGTGACATGGAGATGATGGTGCAGTCATTATATTGCTGCCCATCTTTTAAACTCCCCTCTCTTGGAAGGACACAATTTATCTTTATATAGAACCTTTAAAATAATAAGACATCCCAAGATGTTTCATACATTATCAAAGAAAATTAAACACCAAGACATGAAAGTAAATATTAGGCACATGACCAAAAAATTAGAAATATAGAACCATGAGTAGGCCATTTGGCACATTGAGTTTGGTTTACCATTCAATTAGATCATGGCATTTTTCCCACAGTTTTGTGGGAATCTGCCTGAGCGGGTAATTGAGGTGGGTAACCTCGCAACCTTGAGAAAGTACTTGGATCAGCACTTGAAATGTCATAACATTCAAGGCTATGGGCCTAGTGATGGAAGATGGGACTAGTGCTGGTTAAGGGTAGCTTTGGTAGTACAGACTTGATGGTCTGAAGTTCTGTACTGTATAATCGTCTACCTCAATGCCACAGTCTTGGCTATTACCATATCCCTTGTTGCCATTAGTCTCCAGAAATCTAGTCATTTCTGTCTTGAACAAGCTTAGTGAGCTTTCACAAACTGTGTGCTAAAGAATTTCAAAGATTCACCACACTCTGGGTGAAGAAATTCTTCCTCATCTCAGTCCTGGTCAAAGAAATAGATTTTAAGAAATATCTTTTAGGAGGAACAAGATGATGGAGAAGCAGAGCAATTTGGAGAGGGGATTCCAGATCTTGAAGCCTAGTTAGCTGAAGACATGATCACCAATTGTGGAACAGATAAAATTGTGGATTGATTGATTTATTCTCACATGTACTGAAGTACAGTGAAAAGCTTTGTTTATGAGCAGTACAAGTAGATCATTGTAAGCTAGGATGTACAGATCAGAGGTTGTAAAAAGACTTAGACAGATGCAAACATGTTACATTGCACAGGGCACGTGCTAGGTGAGATCAACGTTAGCAAGATCAGCATTATTTGAGGCTAGAGAGTCCATTCATCAGTTTAATAACGGCCGGGAAGAAGCTGTTCCTGAATCTGCTTGTGTGTGTATTCAGGCTTCTGTAACTTCCGCCTAACAGAAGAGATTGTAGGAGATATAAGTGTAGCCTAAAGTAGAGGAGTTTGGATGAAAGAAATGGCAGATGGGTGAGGGTCATGATGGAACTTGTGAACAAGGATGAACCTTATAAAATCGGGGTGTTACTCAACTGGCCACCAGCTTAGGTCATTGGGTAGAGGTACCTCCAGGATGGATGGCCACCCAATAAAAGTGTGTAACTTGGAGGCATTGTCTCTGCTGTACTTGATGGTGCTGGTTTCAGAGGAAAGAGAAACACAGTGACTAAACAGCGTGTCCAAGTTTCCGATACATGCAAAGTGCTAACCAGAGCTTGGGCATTTTAAACAATCATTAATCTCACCTCAAACAAGCAGGTTCCAGTCACTAGGATAGAACACCATGTTTTCAGATGGAAGATTAAACATTTGGCTAATCAATCCCTACCATAAATGTAGAACAAGGAAACAAACACTTACCTTTGTCTTCCCATTGAATTGGTGACCCTCAATTAATGTGATCTCCTTTCTCCACATCTGAAATGTTCTGTTCACATTATCTGTGACTCAGAGGATAGCCAAAAGCAACAGTTTGTCTCTGATTTTGAAGATCATGAGTTAAACCCAAACCCAGAGATTTCAAACACATAGCTGAGGCTGACACTGTGCAGGGGCTGAGGAAATGCTGTACAGTTGGAGGCTCTGTCTATCAAATAAGATTTAAAACTATTCCAAAGAGGATAAAGTGTACAGCCCCAATATTTACACCTCAACCAGCATCACTTGGAGAGGTTACTTGGTCACTATTTCATTGAGTTTTGTGGAGGTTTACTGTGTGAAAATTGTTGTGTTTTCTACATTATACTCTTCAGAAATACTACAGAGTGCTCTCGGATGTCCTGTGCTTGTGAGAATAAAACTGCACATTCTGAGAGTGAGCTTGCTTCCCGAGTGTTAATCTCTCTTTCCCCCCGTGTCTTCCCCAGGCAAAAGTGCGGCCCTGAGAACAAGTTGGTCTTAGTTTCACGGTGATTTGGAACCCGGAGATTTCCGTCCATCAGTCGCCACTTCCAGACCTTCACTCTCACAAACTGGACACAGTCCAGGATGTCGGGACCCGCGCGGTGCCACAGGCTGTTTATGCACAAATCAAAGCAGGCACTCGCACTAGTCGCCTTATTCGGTATGAACTGTTTTGTCGACCTTTGTGTCTGTAGCAGGAGTCACTGCACCTTGTCGTCCATTTGTTTTGTTTGTTCTCTGCTCCTGATCTCTCCACTCTGAGGTTACGCCTTCGTGTTTGCTTGACACGGCATCCTTGCTCTGCACCAGTGGGAAGGGGAGCAGTTTACAAATGCTTACCAAATCGCCGGTGAGATGCACGTCAAGTGATTTGGCCTCCAGAGCAGTGGAGAGTGAAGGGAAGTGTTCCCACCGCATCTTCAGTCTGGGTGCCCAGCAGCGGGCCCAGATCTCCTCATGGCATGTGCCTTCTCCCTCTCCCCTCCAGCACCTACCCCCCATATTCTCCTAAAGGCACTGACCCACATCAGGGGTTGATCACATAGGTGCTGGACACCTATTGGGTACCTTCTCCTGGGAGCCACTCCTCTCAAGTGACTCCTAAGTGCTTAACCATCATGGTCAAAAGCAAGAGCCAACCCTGTACCCAGTCCAGCAGTGTATCGCTCTTGCTCCTGTAGTGCCCACATTGGGCACTGCCCATTCCCCACATTGAGCAGCCTGGGAGAGGGGTGAAGGTTAAGGGAGAAGGACAATGTCTGTCACTGACTTGACGTTCTTACTGAATTGGAAAAACCTGAATGTGTCAACCACAAACCCAAGAGTCAGGAGAAAGATGACACACAGGATCTGGAGATGAACGGGCTGCTTTTCTTTCCCCATTTCTTGACATGTTATACATTGAAGAAGCCATGGTGTCATGATTTCCCAGAATGCAAGTCTGCCAAGGAAGATTCCTTTTCAAAAATCTCCTCTTGCATGTACAATCCTGACAGACTGCGATAGGATCCTTGCAAGGCAAAGAATGGTTTGATCTCTGGTAACTATAATAATTTTTGCTGTTGAAGCCTGGTTGCAAATAATACCTTGGCTAACTGCTGCTTGGTGATGGTGTCACCGTCAGTGACCCTGGAATTGCGTTAATTCTAGAAGCATTTTATTAACTACCTGCCCCTTCACTGCAGCTGAAGTCATCTGAAAGTTCTAGCTCTGTCATACAAACTGCCCGCCTGCTACTGGGTGACATTGCCCACATGCATTTTGTTAAAGTGCATTACCTAAGATTGTACATTGGCTCTTTGAGGTATTTTTCGTTATTCATTCACGGGATGTCGGTATTACTGGCTAGGCCACCATTTGATGCCCGTTCCTAATTGCACAAAAGACAGTTAAGAATCATCCACCTTGCTGTGGTTCTGGAGACACTTGTAGACCAGACCAGGTAAGGATGGCAGGTTTGTTTTCCCTAAAGGACATTGATTAATTAGATGGGTTTTTCCAACAATTGATGATTTCATGGTCATCATTGGGTACCTAATTCCAAATTTTTATTGAATTCAGATTCCACCATCTGCCTTGATTCTCCAACCTGGGTCCCCCAATATTACTTGAGTTTCCGAATTAATAGTCTACCTATTGAATCACTAGGCCATCACATTCCCCTGTGTGGTTTGCAAAACTCAGTACTAAATCAGGCTACATATAAATCATTGGGACATTGGGTGAGCAGTTTGAAATAGCATTCTCCTCTCTCACTGACCCTGACAAATAGGTGCTAATCTAAATTCACATTTTAACAATAAATGTCATTCGGCCTGGGGCCTACACCCAACCGAAGACAGTCCCCTTTGGTCACCATTGCAGAGAGCTGGTGCCTGATCCAACAAGAAAGGATTAATTTATGATATCCACTGCAGAATCATTTACCACGTGGAGTATGTTACAAATAGCAGGCTGCAGATGTTCATGAGTGGAGAGTTAGTATTTCAAGAAAGGAACACTTTGCAGGTCTCACAAAGCCTGATAGAGGATTTCTGGAATGTTCAAAGTCTAATGGGCTCACTGAGAGACCCAGGCCTTCTTTCAATCTATTTATCAAATTTCAAACCATCCCTTGATAAGCTGAGCAAATATTTCACATTTTTGACTGCTGCTCAATACTTCTCACTAGGAGCAGGAAAACTTTAACAATCCTATAATTTCATTCAGTCATTTCAATATTTCTGTTTTTGCTCAACCTGTTTTTATCAGCCTTTTTGAGAACTGATGGCTTTGTTTTATTTCTCATAACTTTTTTCATCATATTACTATATTTTTTAAACTTTTTTTTATAAATACATATAATTATTTTGCTGTACATTTCCCACAATCAGTGCCATGACTTAGTGACTGAGGGTCAGCACCAAGCTGTCAAGTGTCTCTTCTGGTGGTAATATATTTTTTCCTTAACAAACAGTTGAAATATTGGGCTTAAAAACAGAATAAATCGTCACAATTTGTTGTGCTCTGTCAGTGACAAAAAGGACTAGGTTCCAGATACAGATGGAATCTGAATGCATACTGTTATACTCAGTCATCCGCATAGTGTTTTCACTGTAGCCATTCCATTTCTGTGGCTGGGAGCTTGTGCCCAGTTTGGACAAGCTCTGGGATACACTCAGTTGGATTCAGCCTAACCCATCACTCCCTACAGCAAATATTGCTCTTTTGACTGAGGAATGATACAACACCAACATGGGCTGTGCCTGTGTCAGATCTATGAAAGACCTCTTCCATTAGTCTCACTCCTCCCTGCCCTTTCCCCACAGCCCTGCAAATGTTCTTGTTTCAATTTTTCCTTGTATATTCAACAAGTTTGAACACTCAGTGAAATTGGGTGTCAGTCTAATTACTTCAGCTTCCTGCTGGATGGCATGAGTTATAATTAATTTTACCAGTTATGGATTTGTTTATGCTTTTGTGGGATGTCTGGTGCTGGAGAATGAAGCTCTTCCAATGTCAGGAACCAGTATCAGTTGTCATCATTATCAAGTACTCCTGGATTAGAGCACATTGTACCCTATTCATTGACCACATCCATTCATTTATAGAATGTGGGTGTTGCTAGGCCATTTTGTTTATTGCCTAGAGGGCAGTTAAGAGTCAACCACATTGCTGTGGGTCTGGAGTCACATGTAGGCCAGAGCAGGTAAGGATAGCAGTTTCCTTACCTAAAGGAAATTAAGGAACCAGATGGGTTTAAACAGCAATTAGCAGGGGCCACCAGTAGATTAGTTTTTGGTTCCAGATTTCTCACTGAATTCAAATTTTGCCTGATGGTAATCGAGTCCATCTCCCCAGAGCATTAGCCTCGGGTTCTGGATTACCCAGTCCAGTGTTGTTATCACTATCCCACTGTCTTTGCTTTGCAAGATCTCCCCTCCACTACCTGTTCAATCCCATACCAGGTCCTGTTCATTGACAATCCTGATGAGAATAAGTGATTTCCATGTTTATGAATCCCTTCCAGTCCCTTTCCCCAGCCTTATTCCTTCATGTCTTTGTAAACTTCTCCAGTGCTAGCTCCTGGTTCACTCATTTTACTCATTGGATCCTTGTTACAGCTGCATTTATTCCTCCCACTGACTGTGTTTGGAACTGTCTTCTCTCAGCTGTATCCTCCTCACCCACTGTTCTACTTTCCTCCCCTTCCTTTGAAAGCCTCCTTAAAATCTATCCAGTTATGCTACAGTCACTACTCCCCTACTGTCAGACTGTCATTTTTCATATGTTTCTCTCTGAAACATCTTGGTACCTGTACCTTAAGAACACTGTATAAATCTGATCGAGTTAAGACCCTTCTGCTCAGTCCAAATGAGCATCCCTACCCTTCTTCCAACGCTATGACAACTTTCCATTTTCTACGCTTGCTGTGTTTTGCTTTCTCTCACTAAGATCACTAGTTTGCTGAGAGTTGGTCCCAAATCAAGAGGAATTTTATGCTGGGCACTTGGCACTATACGCTGGATCTAGACTGTGCCAGGCTTATTTTACACACAATCCAAACGGTCAGCAAATCAAAGAATCTTTGACTCCATCAGTCTCTGATGTAATTGAACTCAGCTCCCTGACATAACAGGAGAGATTCTGATTAATTCTCTGAACCAGTCAACTCATTTCTCTTGATACCCAAGTCCCACTTGCCTTAAACAGCCAATTCAGTGGAGTGCTAAAGATGACCCTCATACTAAAGGTTCATATGACTGAGTAACAGAGAACCTTGGGAATACTAATACTGAACTAGTGTCAGTCATGGAGATCATAATGCCAAGATGTTTAAATGTCTGGAAAGTTTGTAATAGTTCTGTATTGATAATTATGCAAATATCTTTTGTATTGATCTAGTATTGACACATTGTCTATAAAATTTTACAGTTTGAACTGGTCAATTATATATCTATAAATACAGATGAATACATATATATCATGATCTAATGTTACAAATGCCAGATGTAATGCATTAAAGATAAGAGAAGTACCTCAGCGACTGCTGAAGGGCAGTGAATTATCAGAATGCATACTGTTGCGCTGTTGGTAGTCGTAGTTTATTGTACAGATCAAAGCATCAAAATCTGAATCAGGTTTTGAATATTCGTTTCAATTTTTATATTTTTTATGTAAGTGGAGGCTGGGCTGGGATATTGGATCTGGACTGATTCTGTCAAATTGGTTTGTATCTGATGGACTCCACAGTCCATCCTGAAGCTGTCCAGGTTAATGTAAACTAGGGTGAGGTGTCCCAAGTACGGGGGAGGGAAACGGTAGGTGTGATGTGAATCCAGTGTGGGGGATTTTAACCTGCTCTGACATGCCTGTTTCATAGCAATGTGCACAGTGAGAAACAATTTAAAACTGAGAAAAAGTAATGGGATTTATAAATACCATGGTAACTGTTAAAAGAAGCAATTATACTGTTGGGAAAGCTCAGAGAGAGAGGAAAATGGGATTATACAATTCTTTTTCTGGTTTTAATTTTGGGTGTCCATCATTACTGCCTCATGATCGACCAATATCTACTCATCATAATCATTCATTATCTTGAAGACCTCCTATAGATCACCTCTTGCATAGAATTTACAGCATAGAACCAGCTCAGTTACTTGGTGCTGATTTTAAACTCCACACAACTCTCCTCCTTGTCTGCTTCCTCTCAAGCTATCACATATCATTCGGTTCCTTTCTCACTCATGTATTTATCTACCTTCCCCTTAAACGTGGCTATGTTATTTAGTGCAAACACTTTCTGGGGCAGCACATTTAACATTGTCATCATTCTCTGGGCAAATCTGTTTCTTCTGAATCCCCGATTGGATTTGTTGATGGCTGTAGTTTTGGTCTCTCTTGCAACCGGAAATCTCTTGTCAAGCCTCTTTGTAATTTCTGTCCGTTCACCCCTCTGCTTTCTCTTTTCTAATTGATTTCTGCACTCGAATGAGGGTCCAAAATCAAAAATGTTGCAAATCTGAGACTAATAGTTTAAAAAAAAATGCTTGCAATGCATGGTTAGTCAGCCAGAACCCCTAAAAAATCAAAAGCAGATGTGGGGGCAGGGGTAGGATCTGGCCAGGCTCATGGTGGACACTCCCATGCTCTTGGTGTCCCACTTTCCCACAGCCATTTGGAAAGTGAACAGCCTCCTCAGTTGGATGATTGCTGTATGCCATATTTCCTCCCTCTCCAGTATTGTTTTAATATGATTTTCCTCCTATTTTCTCCTCTGTAGCAACAGCCAAACTTTCACTTACTAATGGAGAATCTTGTTGAAACATTCACCTCTCTTGATTTTATTATATCAAGTCACCCCAACTGGAACAGGGAATAAAACTGGGTCTGGTTTAGATTATTTCAACTTTTTTTATTTGTTCATGCATGTTGACAAAACTGCATAGGCCAGCATTCCCTAATTACCCTGAAGTCAGTTAAGAGTCAACAACATTGCCATGGGCCTGGAGTTACCTGTAGGACAGACCAGGTAAGAACGGCAGATTTCCTTCCCGAAAGGACATCAGTGAATCAGATGGATTCTAACAATTGACAATGGTTGCCATGAGGCTAACTTTTTATTCCAGATCCTTTTTTAAAAAACTGAATTCAAAATTCACCACCTGCCATAATGTTCTGAACATTAGCCCTGGGGCTCTGGATTACCGGTCCAGTGACCTTACCGCTACACCACCAACTCCCCCAACTTGGATTCATTGCAGTGAAAGCTCTTTCAAGCTATAAGATATGGAGTCAAGCAATTACCTCAAACATAGGCTGCTGCTCAGGCCTGTAAACTGACAGTTATATTTAGTAAGATAGAAGCAAAATACTACAGATGCTGAAAAACTGAAATAGAGGAAATGCTGAAAATGCTG